GGCTGGCAGCGCCAATCAGCTGTTTGGTGCCGCAAGCCTGGGAGGGGAGGAGAATTAGAGCAAGGGCAGCGTACTCGGGGAGGAGGCAGAGCAGAGGTGAGCTGGGGTGGGAAGCCCTGCGGTAGCTCCTGCCCCCCAGCCCTGAGGCACCCCCTGCAGCAGCTCCCCACCCCCCTCCCCCGGCCCAGGGAGCCATGAGGCAGCTCCCCACCCTAGCTCACCTCTGCTCCGCCTCCTCCCCAAGCATGCCGCTCCCGCTCTAATTCTCCCCTCCCAGACTTGCGGCACGAGACAGCTGATTAGCACTGCAAGCGTGGGAGGCGGGAGAAGTGGAGTGGCGACCATGTGCTCGGGGAGGGGGTGTAGGAATGCTGTAAAAAAAATTGGGGGCACTGCTTTTTGGCACCCCTAAATCTTGGCGCCCTAGGCAACCGTCTAGTTTGCCTTAATGGTAGCACCGGCCCTGGCTCCCCCTCAAGCCAAAGCCCGCGTAGTGCAAGGAACAGCAATGCCCCCAAAGTGCTGGCTGCAGCTGGGAGTGTTTGGATCAGGAGTAAAAGAAAGGCAAGGGCTTGACTCGGGTCCTGTCCCATCGCATTATAACCTCCTAGAGCCCTCACCCCTGCTGTTAGTACTATTCGAGGGGTCGGCTACTATAGCCGCTATGGCAGTGGCTTTCAAACTTTTGTACTGGTGACCCCTTTCACATAGCAAGCCTCTAAGTAACTTTTTATATATTTAACACCATTATAAATGCTGGAGGCAAAGCAGGATTTGGGGCGGAGGTTGACAGCTCGCGACCCCCCATGTAATAACCTCACAACCCCCTGAGGGGTCCCGACCCCCAGTTTGAGAACCCCTGCGCTATGGGCTAGGGATCCACTTACACCAGCCTCTCACAACTACTCCATTGGCGAACTTCAACCCCCAACTCCCTGCCTCAAACACGTTACAGTCTCTGCCTACAGACAGACAAATGGTAGTGGACAGGCAGTATGTAAGCAAAACAACAACAGTATGTAACTATACCCTGTGAGGTTGCACAGTGCTAGGACAGCCAGAGTGTGGTTGCTTAGAAGGGCACCTAGGATGCCAACTTTCTATTGGCACAAAACCCAACACCCTAGCCCCACCCATTCCCCCAAGGCCCCACCCATGCTCACTACATTGCCCCTCCCTCAGTGGCTTGCTCTCCCCCACCCTCATTCACTTTCATAGGCTAGACCAGGGGGTTGAGGGACAGGAGGGGGTGAGGGCTCTAAATGGGGATGCAGACTCCAGGGTGGGGATAAGGATGAGGGGGGTGGGGCCAAGGGATTCAGAATGTGGGAGGGGGCTGGGGGTTGGTGTGCACAAGAGGGTGAGGGCTCTGGGGTTGGGCCAGGGATGAGGGGTCAGAGAGTGGGAGGAGACTCAGGGCTGGGGGAGGGGGTTGAGGTGCAGCAGGGTGAGGGGCCTGGGCGGGGGGTGCAGGCTCTGCAGTGCAGGAGGGAGCTCTGGGTTTGGGGGTCAGGGTTGGGATGCAGGAAGGGGTACAGGCTCTGGGCTGGGGCAAGGGATGAGGGGCTTGGGGTGCAGGAGGGGACTCTGGGTTTTGGGGGGTTCAGGGCTAGGGCAGAGGGTTAGGGCGCAGGCTTATCTCGGGCGGCTCCCAGGCAGCGGCGCAGTGGGGTAAGGCAGGCTGCCTGCGTGTCCTGGGTCCGTGCTGTGCCCCGCAAGCGGGCAGCAGGTCCGGCTCCTAGGCGGGCGGTGGTGGACAAGGCTCCACAGCGTGTGCTGCTCTCACGTGCAGGTGCTGGTTCCCAGCCAACGGGAGTGCGAAGTTGGTGCTGAGGGTGGGGGCAGCGTGCAGAGCTCCATGGCCCCGCTGCCTAGGAGCCAGACCTGCTCGTCTCTTCCGGGGCGCAGCGCCATGCCCCAGCGCAGGTAGGGACTAGCCTGCCTTAGCCACGCATGGAGCAGTTTGAAAATTGGACCTGCGCTGGGGCCCACCCATTACCAAAAGACTACATCATAGCCTAACATGTCTTTTTCTGCTCCTCCCCTAGGGCCTTATGACAGCAACTCTTCTCCCTCCTTTGGCACTACTGTTAGTCAGTCAGGAGGCAACTAGCACTCCCTAGCTGTCATCCCCAACTGCCATGGAACCTTCTCATTGCAACATTCCATCCCTTCTTCTCTTTGAATAGGAGTAAAGAAGGAAGGGGTCTTCCCAAGTGGCAGAATCTTTAAAATGCCTGCCCTGTACAACACCCACTGTTTCATTAGCAAATCCTATGCCTGGGAAACATGCAATTTCTTCTTCTATTCCATCCCTGCAGCGCTACGGCAACACATTCAGGACGCCTGGCCTGCTGCGCTGTTGCAAGTGGGATTGGCCACACGACCAGACAACTTGTCTGTGCTTCCTCCCAATCTCTCAGCAGTATCTCCCAAATGACACAATCTGAAGGTGGTGTCCATAAAGGATTATAGTCTCCAAAACAAGACTTCAGTAATATCTAAGGGTATGTCTACACTACGAAATTATGTCGAATTTATAGAAGCCGGTTTTATAGAAATCAGTTTTATACCGTCGATTGTGTGTGTCCCCACATAAAATGCTCTAAGTGCATTAAGTCAGTGGACCGCGTCTACAGTACCGAGGCTAGCGTCGACTTCCAGAGCATTGCACTGTGGGTAGCTATCCCACAGTTCCCGCAGTCTCCGCAGCCCATTGGAATTGGGTTGAGATCCCAATGCCTGATGATGCAAAACAGTGTCGCGGGGGGTTCTGGGTACATGTCGTCAGCCCCCTCCCTCTCTGTCAGAGCAACGGCAGACAATCGATTCGCACCTTTTTACCTGGGTTACCTGTGCAGACAACATACCACGGCAAGCATGGAGACCACTCAGCTCAGCTCACCATCACCATATGTCATCTGGGTGCTGGCAGACGTGGTACTGCATTGCTACACAGCAGCAGCTAATTGCCTTTTGGCAGTAGACAGTGCAGTATGACTGGTAGCCGTCATCGGCTATCTGAGTGCTGGAAGACGTGGGGCTGCATTGCTATACAGCAGCAGCTCCTTGCCTTTTGGCAGTAGATGGTGTATTACGATTGATATCCATCATCGTCATATTCCTCCGTGAGTTCAATCAGAGGCACCTGGGCAGACATGTTTTGTCTCCTGGAGACTCAGTCCTGCCGGCAATCCTATTGAACCGTCTTGACGATGATGGCTAGCAGTCGTAGTACAGCATCTTCTGCCAAGCACCCAGAAGATGCCGATGGCTATCAGTCATGCTGCACCATCTGCTGCCAGCTTAAGATGTAAAAAATAGATGGACCAGATTTGTTCTGTATTCATTTGCTTCCTCCACCCTCCGTGAAATCAAGGGCCTGCTAAACCCAGGGTTTTGAGTTCAATCTTTGGGGGGGCCATTCTGTGTGACAGTTGTTTGTGTTTCTCCCTGATGCACAGCCACCTTTGTTGATTTTAATTCCTTGTACCTGTAAGCCATGTTGTCACTCGCCCCTCCCTCCCTCCCTCCGTCAGACAATAGTTTCGCACCTTTTTTCAGCCCAGACGCCATAGCACTGGGATCATGGAGCCCGCTCAGATCATCGCAGCAATTATGAGCACTATGAACACCACGTGCATTGTCCTGGAGTATATGCAGAGCCAGAACATGCCAAAGCAAAACCAGGCGATTGCAGCAATTGCAGCGCGGCGATGAGAGTGATGAGGAAATTGACATGGACATAGACCTCTCACAAAGTACAGGCCCCAGCAATGTGCAACTGGGGCAGGTTCATGGCGTGGAACGCCGATTCTGGGCCCGGGAAACAAGCACAGACTGGTGGGACCGCATCATATTGCAGGTGTGGGACGATTCCCAGTGGCTGCGAAACTTTCGCATGCATAAGGGCACTTTCACGGAACTTTGTGACTTGCTTTCCCCTGCCCTGAAGCACCAGAATACCAGGATGAGAGCAGCTCTCACAGTTGAGAAGCGAGTGGCGATAGCCCTGTGGAAGCTTGCAACGCCAGACAGCTACCGGTCAGTCGGGAATCAATTTGGAGTGGGCAAATCTACTGTGGGGGC